ATATAATAGGGCATAAATAATTTAATAATACTGTACACAGAACTTTGTATTTATGCAACTTTATATTTCTTAAGTATGAAATGCTAGGATGCCATTAGTTCCTATCTAAAATAAATAATTTTACTTCCATGTAGTAATTGTGGCATCAGCGATAATGTTATCTACCTCAATAGGCCACCCGCTGCTGATGCTCTTGGCAATTTTATGGGCCAGGTCTCCCCACATCTTCCGATCTTGCGTTACTTAAATTTTATTTTTATGCTCTGGCTGGTGTTCCGTTTTCCCTCAATATGCCCCCCATTAAAATGGGGCTACTATTGCTAACGATAATAAACTTTAATCGCCCTCAGGCAATCAATACCAGTGTTATCACAGAAAGGGTATGAAATTGCACGGGAGAAATTGCTGGATGTTAAGCCTAACTTTTCTTGTCAACTCCCTCAAATAAATAAAGTTATTTTTAAACAGATGACTAGGTTTTGATGGGAAATTTGGGCAAGAAGGCATGTTGAGGTGGGTTCAACCGAGAGAACGTCTAATCACGGAGAGCTGGAACTTCCTTCCTTCCTCCCTCCCTCCCTGCGGCTGTTTTTTATATTTCATTTCAGCAAATAGCATCGACTACATAAAGCCTTCAACTTACAATCACTGGTAAAATTTCCATTGGTAAATGAGACAATTGTTAAGTGAATTTTGCCCCATTTTAGGGACTGCAGTTCCTAAATTAGTAACCCAGTCTGCGACCGTCATAAATATGAGTCGGTTGCCAAGTGTCCAGAGTTCAATCACATGACCCTGGGGATGCTGCAACAGTCACAAAAATGTGAAAAACGGTCCTAAGTCATTTTTTTTCAGCGCCGTTGTCATTTCGAACGATTACTAAAAAAAAGCTAGTAAGTTGACGATTGCCTCTATGGGGGTCTCAATCCAAGTGGAAAAGGGGAAGGATTGTGGCTCTAGGCCAGCTAGGTACTGAACAAAAATCAATGCTAATTCTAATTAAAATACCACTTTTTGTTTTTGTTTCTAGAGAGAGCAGCCTAACACAACATAGACATTAGATCAGGGGTGTCAAACTCAATTTCATTGAGGGCCGCATCAGCATTGCGGTTGCTCTCGGGGGGCCAGGTGGGTGTGGCTAGGGTGGGTGTGGCCTATTGGGTGGGCATGGCCAGCTCTACATCGTTCACGTCAAGGGTGCCTATGGGGGCCTGGGCAGGAGTGGGACAGATCTGAGGGTCTCTGGCAGAAGGGGGTGGGACCGGGGCAAGTGCCAAGGCATGGTGCATTTCTTCATGCCTCACAAAGGGTGACACCTCCCCAGCATGCACCCAGCGGGTGAGGCCGACACGTCAGGGGCTGGTTCCTCGATGTTTCTGGACAGCCTTGTGGAGCTAAGACTGAATGCGTTTCAGCATAGATGGCCACCACAAAATTGTACGTTGGCTCCCGGCCAGCCTGGGCCAGAGCCAAGGCAGCGGGGGCCGTTCCCTCACAGTTTCCAGGATGGCTTCGCGGCCCACATGAAACCACTTTGTGGGCCGCATCCAGCCCCCGGGCCTTGTGTTTGACATGTCTGCATTAGATAGTTCCCATAAGCTTTGGCAACTTTACTGTAAATTCAACTAGAGCCAAAAAATATTTTGGAGGAGTGCTACCTAAATTTTTTTTTTTAAAAAAAAGTTTTATTTTATTTTATTTTATTTTTATTAAAAGTTTTACAAATTACAATATAAACCCACCCATCCCCTCCCTCCTCCCCCACTTCCCAGAGCTGATTACAGGGTAACAAATAAACAAACATACTCTAGCTAACATAAACCAACTAAACTATCAATCAAAACCATAATACACTTTAACTCCTTCTCAAAACAAATATTAACAAATTAAGACAAAAATAATAATACCATTAATACTATTAATAATTATCTAAAATCTATTCAAAAGCAAGATAATACTTTTCAGTTTCATACTTCTTCTGAATATAATCAATCCATTTTCTCCAAACCATAATATATCTTTTTATTGATTTTCTAATTTCACATTTAAATATTTGAAAAGCAACGTGGCGGCTGAGTTGGTCAATAATTCAATAACACACAAATATCTTTAGTACAGATCACAAACTATGACATTCAACAATTCCCCTCTTTCCCCCTTGGTATTGTGACAAAGGGAATTGGGATTATTTAAAACTTGGAAATCAGACATACTAGACGTTAAATTTAAATATTAATGAGAAATTAAAAATTGGGAAAAATTAATCAGGGCACTGATTGTCTAAAAAGACTGAATGTTAAAACAACCAGGATGTGTATAAACAAAACTTAATTGATAGATGCAAGGAAGTTGTTTTTATTTAATCGATATAGTAAGAATTGTATTAATTCAAATATGAGGCAGTAGCTACCTAAAATTATAGGAGCAAAGTAAAAGAAAGGGTTTACCTGCAACAAATGACGGCTTTGCAGGACAGGGCCAAATCCAAGAAATATTGCCTTACGCCAAAGGTCAAAGCGTACTTTAAGGTTTTTCCATCAATGATGAGTGCAAAATCATTTTCCTTCCTCAAAGCATCGCCCAGAGTGCTGCAGTGATGGCTTAAGGTCTCTCTAGTTGCCTGTAAAATAGGAACATCAACTAGCAATTAAACGGCATGACCAAAAATCCCTGATCCTAAACCACATTGATGATAAACAACACCAATTCGATTGGGAAGGCCACACTTGGAATACAGCCTCCAGTTTTGGTCACCACGATGTAAAAAACAATGTTGAGATTCTGGAAAGAGTGCAGAGAAGAGCAACAAAGATGATCAGGTGGATGGAGGCTAAAACACACGAAGAACGGTTGCTGGAATTGGGGATGTCTAGTTTAATGAAGAGAAGGACGAGGGGGGACAGGATAGCAGTTATTCCAGCATTTCAGGGGCTGCCCCAAAGAAGAGGGAGTCAAGCGATCCTCCAAAGCGCCTGAGGGCAGGACAAGAAGCAACGGATGGAAACTCATCAAGGAAAGAAGCAACTCAGAACTAAGAAGAAATTTCCTGACAGTGAGAACAATTAACCAGTGGAACAACCTGCCTCCAGAAGTGGTGAATGCTCCAACACTGGAAGTTTTTAAGAAGAGACTGGACAGCCATTTGTCTGAAATGGTATAGGGTTTCCTGTCTGAGCAGGGGGTTAGACTAGAAGACTTCCAAGGTCCCTTCCAACTCTATTATGTTTATTATTATTATTATTATTATTATTATTATTATTATTATTATTATTATTATGGATCATCGCACAGTCAGCCAGATGTTCAGACTGGATTTGGCATTTTGTCTACCTATCGAGTCCTTACCCAGGACCTGGGATAGGCAGATGTGGATGTTTGATGGTATTACAGATATCGTCGCAGGATGGAAGCAGTTCCTAATAAGGCCGCCTTTTGCAATTGACTAATAGCGAATTTGTCAATGCCAATGGTGTTCAAGTGGTGCTCCAGTTGTTTTGGGATTGCACCCAAGGAGCCTATTACTATTGGTGGTATTATTATTATTATTATTATCACCATCATCATTATATTATTATTATTATTATCATCATCATCATCATCATCATCATTATGGCACGCCAACACCCACCACATGCGTATTCCACCAAAGGAGCAATTGACAAGCATATTGATCCAGACCCAGCATATGTGTATGTGAGATATCAGACCATTCGAACTGCCAATCAACAGGAGAACCAATCAGCTGCTCAGAATTCAAATATGCCTCCAAATGAACAACCAATCGCACGACCACACTGGCACACAAGATATTTTATAAGCTAAATAGAGAAGAGGGCAAAGACATCCTGTGGATGAGATTATCTAGTCTGGTAAGGAAACGTTCAGGGATTATATTGAAACAAGCTTGGAGAAAAAAACCCACAGCTAAAATAAATCATTAATCCATATTTATTTTTAAACTAGTTTATACCCAGCACGTAGACTGTTATTCAAATGTTAGGCTATACTTACATCAAGGGAGCCTTCATTTATGACAATCAGCCCCATGTTCTTTTTCAAGAGTTTACACGAATGTCCTATTAGGGGAAAAAAAAAAGTACGCTGTTGTGTTAGGGTTTTTAAAAGTTGTAATTACAAATACATAAAGATATAAACATGATTCCTGACACTGAGACGCTAAAATGCAAGAATACTGTGGCCTGGATAAAGTAACTGGCATTAAATTAGAGGTTTGGTGGGAAAATTCAAGGCCACTTGAGGGAATATATATTTAAAGAGAATACTAGAACGTTGATACTCTGTTTGATTTCAGGTAAACAAAGAACACACAAAATAACATTGTGTTTTGCTTTTATAGGACACAATTCATCCAAGATTCACCATCTTTACATGAAAAAAAAAACCATATGGCTAAACTATAATCTCTTTTAAGAGGGAAAGTTGAGTCAGAAGATGAAGTCAATAAGATAAGAGTCAAGAGTAATTTACTGGTTCTGGGACCATAAATAAATAAAGTTGTGTAAAGAACTCTTTTCAACGCACTGTTTTGTGTGTTGTTGAACCATAATCTCTTTCTATATTAATTAGAGTTAGATGAAATTCAAATTGCATTCGTCGGTCACAGGATTAGGGATAATTCTAAAGGATTTGCAAAATTTCTCACGCCAACAAAAACGCCAATATTCTTTTATGTGACATCCATTTGAGTGATTGAACAGAAATATGCCACATTGCTATCATGGTATTACAGGCAAAAGCCAGAAACTTGCAAAAACTTTTCTAAGGAAGTGATCATTGGTAATGATAGAAGCTGTCATTGTTCACTTTGTCTTCTTTTATTTTTTTACCATATATTTTACTGACTTTTTTAAAACAAAAATCACTTAACAGTTGGTAAACAGTGTTTGCTGGGTTTATATTTGTAAAGAGAAATCATTAACAACTGGTTTCTATAATCCATAATCCACAGAGTACATTTAGTTGATTTCCTCTTTTCCCCAAAATGACTTCTTTGCAAGCTTTGAAATAATGCAGTTCTTATTATTTTGATAAATAAGTTACATATATGATTTCCCCCCCAATATTCCTAGAAATAATGCTCACATCAATATAATATTTCTTTTCTATCTAATCATTCTGGTTGCCTCATCTTATATCCTGTTACAGTCCTTCTTTAGATTTGTTTCTCCCGTAAAGTTCAAAGTATTCTTGCTGGTTAAGATTTTCTCAACTGTTAATTACGTTTAAAGGTTTAAATCCTTTTTTCCCATATAAACCATCTCAACACTTTTACATTTCTTAAAGCATAGGTAAAAACAGTAAACAAAAAGAAAAGAGATAATTTTGTCTTCTTTTAATGTATGGCGTATATCTGGGCATTATCAAATCTCTCTCTCTCTCTCTCTCTCTCTCTCTCTCTATGTTTTCTGAGGTTTTTGCGGGTATTTGTATGTAGGTCTTTGGTTATTCGGGTTTTCTCCCCCGTAAAATTGGAAGTGTCTTGGCGACGTTTCGACAAAGTCCCTTCGAAGCACAAAGCCGAAAACACCAGCCTGAAGATGACGAATGGGACTTCGTCGAAACGTCGCCAAGACACTTCCAATTTTACGCGGGAGAAAACCCGAATAACCAAAGACCTATATATGTATGTATGTATGTATGTATGTATATGTGTATGTATGTATGTATATATATATATATATATATATATATATATATATATATATATATATATACACATACATACATGTATACACACACACACACACAGAGTTTATAAATGTAATCATAATATTCAGAAATGATATTCACTACTGATATAAAATACAGCCAGTGGATATATTTAATGATTGATTTGTCTTAATTATTAGTTGTCTTAATTATTAGTTGAACATTGCTACGCTATGTTCCATTCTGTGATTCCTGGAGTTATGTGAATATCAGGACATAACCAATTCTTTTCACTAACCCCAAGTTGATTTCATATAGTCAATTCTTCCTTTCTTCTCGTCGTCAGAAAAATATAAGGATATCCTGAATAATTCCCAAAGGAAACAGGCATCTTTTTCTCAATTAAATACATGCATACGTTTAAGTTTACCAACTTGATTGACATATTACCAATGTTAATAGCTGTCTCTTGCTTGTCTCCAGTTAGAATCCAAATTCTGATATCTGCTTTCATTAGCGTTTCAATGGTTTCAGGCACTTGATCCTGTAGGCGATCTTCTATGGCTGTTGCGCCAAGTAGCTGGAGATTCTTCAGAAAGAAGGCATGCGAGAATTAACTTCCTTTTCTCAAAGCAAGTAAGAAATATAATAATAATAATATAAATATAAAGAAAACCTATGCAAAATGTTCTACAGTTGGGCTCTTGCCACCAACAAGATTAGCAAAATATGTTTAAAAATACATCAGAGAAATATTGGAAATGTAAGCACAAACCAGGTACTTATTATCAAATGTGGTGGACATGGGTTAAAGCAAGGAGATATTGGGACAAAAATTCACACTTCGTTAGAAAAAATGTTAGAGAAACACATAAGACTATAAAGCTGAATTTTTTTTTACTAGGTATAATGCCAGAAAAACGTGATAAGCAAAGTACATCTTTGATTCTACATGTGATAACAGCGGCAAGAATTATATTTGCACAATATTGGAAGAATGAAGAAATACCACCAGAAGAAATAATTAAAAAAATACTAGACTGTGCGGAAATGGACAGACTTACTTTAAGGTTGAAAGAAAAAGAAGAAACAGAACATTTTCAAACTTGGGACCTATTTTATCAATGGTTAGAGAAAAGATTTAGGGATTAGGAATTTAATTTGTATTAGTGAATAAAAGATACTCAGACAACACGTTTTGTTGAATGATTACTACTGAATTCTATTTAAAAAATAATAATTAATAAAACTTTATAAAACAAAGAAAAGAAATATAATTTAGATTTAGGACCTGGTACTATAGCAAACACAGCTTACACTAAGGCACTTACAAACAGAAGATTCCTAGTACCGTATATTCCGGCGTATAAGACGACTTTTGAGAGCGATGAAACAGCCTCCGAACTCGGGGGTCGTCTTATACGCCGAGTCATAACGTTTATTTATTTATTTATTATTTCCGGCGTATAAGATGACGTTCTAGGCATACGACTCGGTGTCGATCATCTTATACGCCGGAAATGACGTCATTTCCGGTGTATAAGATGATCGACACCGAGTCGCATGCCTAGAAAGTCATCTTATACGCCGGAAATAACGTTATAAACTACGTTTATTTCCGGCGTATAAGATGACTTTCTACGCATGCGACTCGGTGTCGATCATCTTATACGCCGGAAATGACGTTATTTCCGGCGTATAAGATGATCGACGCCGAGTCGCATGCCTAGAAAGTCGTCTTATATGCGACTCGGCGTCGATCGTCTTGCGACCCGGCGTCGAACTCGGGGGTCGTCTTATACGCCGGGTCGCCTAATACGCCGGCATATACGGTAAGCAAGTGAGGTGGCTATTCTGGGTTTGCCTTCTAAACAAAGTCTTTGTCTTGGAAGGAAAAAAAAAAATTCTTGCAAGGAAAACCCCCCCTGAAATGAGTCCCAAACCATTGCTCCTTGTGACAATGACGCAAGACTCTGTTCCCTGCTGTATTTTGAGCAACGAGAGACAGCCATCTTGCTTGCAGCTATGCGTGGTGCCTTTTAAACGACAATTTAAATCCTCAAACTTCCTTTTTTTAATCCTATCTGGAAGCTTCTCATCAATTACTTTTAAGCTAAAATTGCTAAAATTTAAGCTAAAATTCGATCGACAAGCCTGAAAATATGAGGTTGAAACCCCCTTTTTTAAAAAAAGAAAAAAAATGTATCCAATGTACTCTAAGCTACAATGTTAACTTATAATAAAATCTACGTGTCATTAACACGAATCTCGATAAAACTCATTGCATAAAGTTTAAGCGACACGGACCACCTACTTTTTCAATTAGTTCGTAACTCTCTTCAAGTTTCAGGGCTCTGTTTTGAATGGAAGTTGCTGCTCTTTGATACACACTCAGCCACTCCTGATAATCACTTTCTGTAATCTCAGCCACAGCAAAACAGAGGGTTCTCAAACCTGCAGAAACAGCCACATCATGGTCCATAACTATCACTTCTCTGTAAGTTTGGAACTTTGGATTCAAGCAGATTATAGACAAAAAAAAAAGTTTTTTTTTTCAAAGTTTGCAAGCAAGACTTAGAATTCTGAAATAGAAATTCTGTCTGAATTTTCTGAGTCTTTAAACTAGCCACAAGAGCTGCCATACAAGACCTCATCTTAAAACAGTTCATGTAGTGATGGCTTGAGTCCGTTTAGTTGCAAGGGCACTGAAAAACGTGATGTCAACGCTGCTAACATCGGATGTTCTTCCTTTCCACATATGGAGATGCAGCCATTTTCCTTCTTATGTTTTACTCTTAGAGTTAGAGTTAGAATTAGATGATACTGGGGGGGGGAGGACTGTGTATGGGAGTTTAGTTAGACATAACAATACTGGACCTAGTGTGAGAACCAAGGTTTTTGAAATAAGAGATGATAAGGATTGGCGGGCTAGAGAACTGGAGGGAAAGCCTGCATTTCAAACTAATTGGAGAATGTGATTTATAACGGTTAATTGGAGGAGGGAATTGTGCTTTGATACTATGTGCTCAGGGGAGGGGAATTTAGATTTTGGGCAAGTGCTATGCTTCTCGAATAAAGATTCTTTAAGGTAAACAATGTCTCAAAGTTCTTTGAAGAGTTTCATCTGTCGGAACCATGACATGTGACTTATGATTGTTTTTCATGGCCTTTGCAGCATCCCCAAGGTCATGTGATCAACGTTTAGACCCTTGACAAACTGACTCGTATTTATGACAGTTACAGTGTCCCACACTTTTCAACCGCTTGTTGACAAATGAGAGTTAATTGAATGCAGAGAAAATAAGCAATAGGCAGTGTTTATTGGGGGTTCAAAAAGGAAATAAAACGTCTAATCTGCACTGTACTAGCTGAAAAAAAGGAAAGTAATATTTTAAAGTAATTGTCAATCGTCATTCATTTATATTATTATTACTCAATTATTTATTACAATGTGCTCTTATAATTAAATAGAAACCCTATTACTCACCTTCAGTAGCAAATAGCTCTAAATGTTTCAAGGTAATTTCTTTATATCTTGAATTCTCTGCCAGACGATCATAAATTACTGTGTCCTGTAGTAATAATTAACATGTTGAACAAAAATCTATTTTGCTGAGTGTTAAAAAAAAGATGTAAAACTCTATTTAAGGTGTAGTATTGCAGTTAATTATTATTTAATTAAAAATGCACATCCCATTTTCCATAGGAAATTCAGCATAAGGAAACAGGTTTTTTTTTTAAAAAAATCACCGCTATGTAGCCAAAAAAAAAAAAAAAAATCCCCCAACCCTTTGTATTTTTATATTAATGCAGAGATTGATTGAAAACCATACCGTATGTAACAACCCTTTACAATTTTTACTGGATTGTGAACTGAATGTACAAATGTGTGTGCGTTAGTTAAATCGCTATTATTTTTAAGAGCTGTTTACCCGAATGCAGCAGTGTATATCAAATAAGTAAAGATTACATCAAGTAAATAAATATATAAAATTGTCTCCCAACTTTTCGGTTCTGTATTAATTGAGGGCACTGCGCAGAAGTCTGAATGATGCATTTTGGACTGTGAATTGAAGCTCTATGCTTAAAATCAGCATTTTTGTTTCAGAAAACTGGAGATCTATAAAAATCCAGAGTTGAATGCTTGTATTCAAACGAGCATCCTGTAATGGAGCAGCACCATCTGGTGGTCTATGTCGAGTATTACATTCCATTTTCCATTAGTTTTAAGTTGTGTGTAGTTTTTTTTTTTTTTTTTTAAAAAAAAAAAACCAATTTACCAGTTGTTGCTTTCCCTGGAGTTGCACACCTCTGGAATTTATACATTTTTCTTAACTTTGAGTGTTTGTGCGTTGATATTTAAAAGTCAATAAGGCTTTTACGTTATTTTTCTATTTCATCTCGTTGAGCAAAGTTTGATTTTGTTTACACAAAAAAGCAAAAAATAAAAATAAAAAAAGTACCAGGGATGATGGCCAGTGCTTGTTCTCACTACCTGTTTCCCCACATTGCTAGATTTGTGTACAAATACACACACAAGGCAATTGTGTTTCAGGTGTAGGGGTCTGTATGTGCAGAAGATGCAGTTAGGTACACAAGCATCTTATCCAACGTGAGAACAGAAGAGGAAGGGAGCCACGAGATGGACGCCAGGGAGAGGACGAGAATAAATAGGAAGCACGCAGGTGCCGAAACACAAAAGAGAAATCATAATACGATGGTTCTAAGAATAGAGGCTGAAAAAAAATAAATAAATAGGACATTAACATAATAACATGGAAACAGGCAGGACAATGGGAGTAGAAAAGATAATTTGGGGAAATGTTAAGACCTACTCTGAGCCATAGGATAAGAATGGGACAGATTTGGTGAAAACAATTATAGAAACCCAAAAATAAGACAGCAATTGAAGGGAGGGGGGCGGGGAAAGCAATTGGATCTCTTCAAGTCTGGGGTCCAACTGACAATTATTAGATCTATTGTGAGTCCATCTAAGGCAGAGGTCCCCAACCTTTTGGGCACTAGGGACCGGTTCCGTGGAGAGAGGTTTTTCCGCGGACCGGAGGGGGCGTGGTTTTGTGTGCTGCCTGCATCCCGCGGATGGGGCTTTGCTTGTTTGTGTGGCCCGGTGGCTGGCATGCTGTGGCCCGCTCCCGGTCCACGGACTGGGGGTTGGGGACCCTTGATTTAGAGCAGAGGTCCCCAACCTTTTGGGCACCAGGGACCGGTTCCGTGGAGAGAGGTTTTTCCGCGGACCGGAGGGGGCGTGGTTTTGTGTGCTGCCTGCATCCCGCGGATGGGTCTTTGCTTGTTGGTGCAGCCTGGTTGTTGGCTTGCCATGACCCGGTACCGGAGTTGGGGACCCCTGATCTAAGGGGCCAGGAGACAAGGCTATTATGGGTTTTGATGTACACACTAGGGTTAGAAGACAGCATAGCAAAGTGAGGTGCCCTTTGGAGTACAGGTGATTGTAGAGAAAGTACTAGTGGGTGTAGATCCCAATGGCTTCTAGGAAGACCTCCCACCTTTCACGCTATGGGCACAGTTGTGTCATTACAAAATGTTGGTTCTACTTTTCTGTGTTTATTGCTATGGGAAAAAAAATTAAAAAGAATGGAAGAAAGTGGTAGGACTAAATAAGTGGTCATGTTTATTCCTTACAATCTTCCCCAAGAAAATATCTTTGACAATCACGTTTCAGAAATTTATATTTGAAACAAACAAACAAACAAACAACAGAGCGACAACTCACAGCTCCTTTGCAGTAGAGTCTTAATTTTCCCGATGGTGTGCGCACAATCACGGACATTCTTTTTCTAGAACTGGAAGAATTGAAAAACTTGTGAACATTTTTTAAGGGACTGAGAAAAACAAAAGACATAAAAATAAAAGACATTGAAAAGACCTACCTTGTAAATTCTAACACATTTAGCAATTCATATCTTTCTTCTTGACCCAGCTGGAGAAAAAAAAAAGCGACGCGTTATTATTTAAAATTTCAAAGGGATTTCTAATTTCTCAATTTTTTTTAACTGAGAAAATAATACCTTTTACAGTTTTACTAATTTAATCTACTTACTGATTCTATAATGACAGAGTCTGGTGTTCTTCCAGTAAAAACAAAATGTAGTTGCTTAGCTGCTCTGACTAATGCTCCTTCATCTGTAATAAACCATCCACTATAATTATTATTTCACTGACAAATGGATAAGAGCAAAAAGCTAAAAACAATCAATATGTTTACTGTTTTGACCACCAGAAATTAGATTTTTTTTATCTTCATTTTATTCACAGATAATTTCATTTCATTCATATATAATTTCCGCCACATTTTCCAAAAGTAAAGAGAAGCACATTTCATAATTTAAGAATGCTTCCAAACAAGCCTTCAATCTATATAATAGCCTTTCCTGTTTTACATAATTTGATGTGAGAATCAAAGAGGATCATGAACTTCTGTTTCAGTTTTCTTGCTTATTGTTTATCACTGCTTTCATTTTTTTTTCCTTTTTAAAAATATCAGTGAATTATCGGTTTTGATAAGCAGTACAAGAACTGCTTGGAAGCATCGCAATGTCCCTATATACTTTTACGTTTGTGCAGTTAAAATGTATAGCTAAAAAAAGATCCAGCCTTTTCCTATATAGCCTTTTGTTAAAAATTGATATCCTAGCACATTGTTGAACTAAACCGGTACTAATTCATTCTGTTCACATTACACTGCAGGAGGAAATCCTACAAAGCCTATTATAGGCATGACTTGGGTGTGTGGCAAGCCAAAATGTCCTTTAAAAGCCCAAGCAATCCATAATCCTTTTCTTTTATTAGCTTTATTCATTTATAACATCAAATGTGAAAATACAAAAGCAAATAGTAGGGGACAACAGCAGAGAAAAGGAAAACAAAAAAATATAAAAAGGGAGGGGAAGAAACAAAAGACATTGACTTCTGATGATAATGTTCAGCCTACAATTAGAAACGCATCCTCTTTACAATGAATTCCAAAGATAGATAGGTAGGTAGGTAGGTAGGTAGGTAGGTAGATAGATAAATAGATGATAGATAGATAGATAGATAGATAGATAGATAGATAGATAGATAGATAGATAGATAACCTTTATTGTCATTTTTTTACCGTGGGCACATTGGTACACATTAAAAATGAAATTTTGTTGCTTGCTCTCTAAAGTGTACAGATACATAACACACATTTAAACATGCTATATACAACGCATGTATAAACCTACACCTTTACATATAAATAACATATAAATATTAATCACTGTCCATCTTGAATACATAATGGAAAGAGGAAGCTTTAGAGTTCACAAGATTAATATTGCGTGGAACAAAACTGACTGAATCTGTTTCAGATCCCTCTGTTCGGTGGGAATATATCTTTAAGTACATAAATGAATGTTAACACAATTCAACTTTACATAGCTGAAAAGGATTACAGCTGCTGCATAAATCTTACCTGGTGATGCTGCTTGATAAACTATTCTGTCATCCTCTCTTTCTGGGACAGCTGTATGACAAATTGCCATCATTGTCAAAAACTCACAAATTATAGGTGCAGTTGGCTGAAAACCAGAACACAGTAGAATGAATTGTTCTTTATTCTAGAATTAAAAACTGTAGGTACAGACAAGCAGGTGCAAAAACAGCCACACAAAATCATTGCTTCTTTTTTTAAAAAAAAAAAAAACATTCATTCACCTAGCAGAAACAAAATGGTAGGGGAAATGGAAGCGACAAAGAAAAGATATGCATTTTCTTTTTCTTTGCATATGCTTAGTGAAAAAAAAGGGGTAGTAGTAGAAAAAAAAAAGTTATGAGTCAGAACGGTGACCGGTGCAATTACAGACCTATTTTTATGCAAATCAAAATTGCACTGTGTTTTAAACCCTTAAGAGGAAATAAATATTGTTAACTCTTCCGATAATCAGAAACTATTTCACAGTTTTGGTCCTCACGATACAAAAAAATAAAATAAAAATAAATATTGAAGCTATAGAAAGAGTGCAGAGGAGAGCAACAAAGATGATCAGGGGATTGGAGGCTAAAACATATAAAGAATGCTTGCTGGAACTGGGTATGTCTAGTTTAACGAAGAGAAGGACAAGGGGGGACATGATAGCAGTTATTCCAGTATCTCAGGGCTGCCCCAAAGAAGAGGGAGTCAAGCTATTCTCCAAAGCACCTGAAGGCAGGACAAGAAGCAACAGATGGAAACTCATCAAGGAGAGAAGCAACCTGGAACTAAGGAGAAAGTTCCTAACAGTGAGGACAATTAACAGCTTGCCACCAGAAATCGTGGGCGCTCCATCACTGGAGGTTTTTAAGAAGAGACTGGACAGTCACTTGTCTGAAATGGTATAGGATCTCCTGCTTGAGTAGGGAAGAGGAAGCATTTTACGTGCGTGCGTGCATACAAATGGGGCCGTGAGCATGCGCAACGCACCAGTTTTTGCCACACAGTGCCCCATTTGTGCCGCGGCAGTGGCGCTAGCATGACTGGGGATGAGTACGCGCACAGACATGCACGCTCTGGCCAGCCTGTTCCGCGATCCAGTGGCCACGGCCCGCAGGTTGGGGTCCTCTGGATTAGAAAACCTCCCAGGTCTTTATTTCATTAGATTTTTATCCTGCCTTTATTACTTTGTCAGTAATTTAAGACGGTGAACATACATGATACCTCTTCCTCCTCCTATTTTATTTATTTATTTATTTATGAGACTTGTATACCGCTTTAAGTGCAAGCACTCTCTAAGCGGTGTACACCAGTAAGCAATGTATATATATATTTTTACATTGCCCCCAACAATCTGGGTCCTTTATGTTAGTTTTGAAGTTATTATTTATTTCGCATCACCGTATTTCTGCACCGTACATGTTTATTTTGCAGGTTTTCCAGTAACGATGAGTCGCTAAATGTTTTTTCTTCCCTTGCTTGTGAACTCTGCCTAAAAGTGAAAGAAATGAAACCAGTTACATGTATTTACGATCAAGAAACAATGCAGCTTTATTAAGTATAAATCATGTAGATTCTGCTTACATCTTTTTTTAAAGTTATGGTTACAAAAGATTGTAATGAGTACTTAAGGAGGCATCTTACATTTTAATTATCCTTCCTCCACATATGGTTCCATTAATATGTAGCAAAACATATTTAATTAGGTTCAGCACAAAATGATAATACACAGAATGAAATGAATGAAACAATAGTTAATTTACCCATATAAATCACATCAAAACCAGACTTTTCACCCATGGATTAAAAATCAAAAGTCAACCTCTGATAACAAATAATGTTTTCCTAGAGAGTGAGTTTTGATGAACGTATATGGATATTTTCGATAAGGCTATAAGACTGTACCGTAGTTCTCTAATAATTCTAATATGAACATTTTAAAAACCAGGTTATTTATATTTGAGTGAAGTAACGTTCAGTAAAGCTTACTCAGTCTAAAGAAAATGGATGAGCAATAAATTATCTTTGCAATTGATGAGTCAAATCCCGCTTCTCAACAGGTGAAATGTTTATCTGAAGATACTGTTTCAAGATTACTTTCTACGCTAATAATATTTACGTTAATAAATATATATGTTTATATATTATTGCGAGTAGAAAAGAAACAGCAGCAAAAGTTAGTGCTTACCCCTCATCCGAAGTACAGCCCAAATCATCTGATTCAGGAGAATGGCTGTATGAAATGTAAAGGAGGCAGAACCACATAGAAAAATAGTCAAGAAAGGCTTGGCGTTTGGACAGCTCATCAGAGAGAAATTAAGGCAAAAGGATGGCAAATGATCTAGTGATCCATTCATGTAACTGAAACCATAGGTTTAAAAAAGTAATCCATGTTATTCGGAATCCTACTTTATTAGGGTCCTGGAGTGCATGGCCTACCTTTAATAACTCAAGCATTCAGCTCCAGAAGTTCTGGACCAGTCTTGTCCAATCTTGGCCATTTTATGGCTTGTGGACTTCAACTCCCAGAATCCCCCAGCCAGCAAAGAAAGGGGAGGTGGGGATGGAGGAAGTTTTAAGCAGGAGGACAAGGCACAGCCAAGTGTGGTGTTGTAAGGGAAGAGGAAATAGGAGCCCTGAGAAGGATCACATGTTTCACAGTCTATAGCCCTGAAATTTTAAGTTCCAGTTGCTATCGTAGGTTTTGAAAATCCAAACGGGTTCTTATAGATGGAATTGGATGGAGCAAATGATTTGCGCTGCCTTTTAACTTCCACATCCCGAAGAATGTTAGTATTTTACTCCTCAGTATCTTTACTTTTAGTAATCAACAATCTGACAATCCACAACAATCCAGGAAAGAGCGCCACAGAGGTTGCTAAAGTTAAAGTTAAAAAACATCCGTGTAAAATGTCCAGTTTGATCGTTCAAACTCCACGGGTAAAAAGATGAAGCTGACTTAAGTGTAAAACATCAGGGACTGAATTAGACATGCATCAGAGGCTCTGATTCTCTTTGAGATTTTTTTTTTTTTTTTTTAACTTAAAAAGATCCTGAAGAGCTCTCCAAAGTATTTTAAGGACATTGCAAATGTCCAACTCTATATTTATTTTTTTTTTAAAAAAGGGGCGCCAAGCAATGACGTCAGAAAAGAACTCACCCATAAGATATTCCTGCTATAGTGCACTTCTTGAATTGCATAACGTTGCACGTCAAGGTGCCTGTTTTGTCTGAAAAGATGTATTTGACCTTTTAAAAAAAAAAGGTAAATGTGCATTAACAGGTTTCATCAAGTATACATTAATAGGACAGCACCATGGTAGTAACATAATGCGATTTATTAAAATTATTCAACGTTGTGAAAATGCTAGCCCAAAAAAAAAAAATTATGCAAAAGAAAAAGCTTTCCAGTATTGGGTAGATTTTAGACCGGGGGTCCCCAACCTCTGGGCTGTGGACCAGTGGACCAGTACTGGGCCGCGGCATGCCAGCAACTGGTCTGCACAAACAAGCAAAGCCCCATCCGTGAGATGCAGGCAACACACAAAACCACGTACTCTACGATCCGTGGAAAAACCTCTCTCCACGGAACCGGTCCTGGTGCCCTTGGGGACCTCTGTTTTAGACAACGGAGTGGGGGAGAACTGTAAACTGTCAGTTGAGAATTTGGCACCCCTTCCAACTCCACAAGTTAGGAATATTGTGATCTCCAGAACGATCATTTGAAGATTTATGTTCTCTCTACACGGATAGGATTAAACCTAGTGGCAGATGTTAAGTAAAATGCCATTTTCTTTTGGGGAAGTGTCCCTAAAGCTAATTTATCTCTGGGAACTCTTTTTTCTTTTTGTTTCTTTAATAATATTTTATTGAGGTTTAAAAAAAAAATACAAAGATGAAAACTAATTGTAAGTGTTGCTTACTGAGTTAGAATATTTATGATATCTTGTCAATAATGGTTCCTGTGATGAGACATTGCTAAAAATGGCATCCTAGGCCAGTGATGGCGAATCTTTTAGAGACCGAGTGCCCAAACTGCAACCCAAAACCCACTTATGCATCGTCGAGTGCCGGGTGGGTGTGGCCCATTGGCTGGGCGTGGCCCATTGGGTGGCCGCGGCTGCAGTGATAACGGCAGACTGGGTGGGACTAAAAAGTTCAATCAATCAATTCCAACTTTGCAAGATCTTTTTTTTTTCCCCGCGAGAAGTTGAAATTGAGTGAACTTTTTTTTTTGCACATGGTGGTGGAGGCCTAAAGCGAAAAGGTTTTATAATACCCAGCTGAAGGCCTAGGACTGGGGTGATGGTGCGCATGCCCACAGAGAGGGCTCTGAGTGCCGCCTTTGGCACCCGCGCCATAGGTTCACCACCACTGCCCTAGGCTCATTTTTTTTTTCTTGCCAAATCTGTAGGACTCTTTATATATGCTCTGCTGTTCAGAACAGTGGTTGAATTAAAGTATTGATATGAATGAGTCTCATTAGATCATGACATGTTCCGAAGAATAATCCCTAAGGCAGAGGTGGGCAACTATGGCCCCTTTATGATCTGTGGACTTCAGCTCCCAGAATTCCTGAGCCAGCATCTACACAGACACATTTGGGGGATAAATGTAAACACCATCCATTTAAACATAGGACAGAGAGTATTTATATTCTACCAACTTATCCATTTATCAGATAAACAGCAGATAAAGGAGATGGCTGTGTGAATTTAAACTAAGAAATTACATATTAATAAAACAACAGAAATTCCCCCCCCCCCAAAAAAAACCCCATACCTGGCCAAGTTCTTCATTAAGATTGGATGTACGTGCCATGGCAGCAGTGTCTGTAAGTTCATAATGCATGTCAATATCCTAATAAAATAATAATAATAAAAAAGCTGAAAAGGGTATTAATTTGTGCACACGCTCCGCTGCAATCTGTTTTGAGCAAAACGTAAGCAAAAAAACTTGGTATAACTAGATATTTATCAAAATTTTATTCAATGTGTGAATATTGAGGATATTCTGATATAAAGCCAGGTGTAGGGCTAGGAGTTAGATTTCCACCGAGACTATGCATTAGACTATTCATTATCTATCTTTGAAGTTTGCATTAGGAGTAAACATGTCTTTCCAAGCTCATATCTTAAAACAGTGGTTCTCAACCTTTTTAATGCCGCGACCCCCAACCGGTTGTAAGTCGAGGACTACTCAACCGGTCGTAAGTCAAGGACTACTCAACTGGTGCAGCACCGTTTGCAGAATGGAACTTTTGGCAGGCTCAGCAGGGCAGAGACAGTCTGGACAATTCCTATTGGCTTTTGAAAGCCAATAGAATTAGACTCTATTCAAGAGAGTCTATTCTATTCGCTTTCAAAAGCCAATAGAATAAAAGGGAGGAGCACAGCTAAGGAAAAGGGGGGGAAAAATGGCAGACTGTGTTGTTTGGCGACCCCCGTGAAATGGTCGTTCAACCCCAAATGGGGTCCCGACCCACAGGTGGAGAACCGCTGTCTTAAAAGGTTTAGTTGTTAAGGGATTTCTTTAATCTATACAATTTAAAGCCTGCAATCATATATTTTGTGATATTTTATTCTTCAATTTAATCTGCATTGTTTTAACAAACAAGCTTGTGTTATCAAATCATTATCAAGTCACGTATATTCTGTTCTTGAAATGAATTATTAAAAGGTCTGCAAATAGCACAATAATTTTTATATTTACCCAATTTATAAAATACGCTTGAATAAATTTAACAACTTCCAGTGTAACTAACAGGCTGATTGGAATTAGATTATTGAAGAGAATGATAAATGTCAGGAAATTGAGTCCAAAATTACTAGCTCCACCATCTGTTAAAAAAGGGAGAACAAAGAGAAATCATGCAATGATTTATAACATTAAGTACAATAATTCTAGAAATTTATTTATTTATTTTTTTTAAAAAAAACAACAACTGCATAAAGGAACCTAAGGCCATGGTTCCTATGAAACCTGCTCTTGAATCTGATTATTTGCCTTGGAAAGGAATCTGAATATAAGTGTCAAAAAAAAAAAAACCCCACAACAAATTGGAAAACAGCAGCTAAACTGGATCTCTGCTAAGATCACAGTGCAGACAAAAAGGTATAAAAACCCACCTATACCGTGTGCTATTGTCCTGATGCTATTTAAGTCATTTAGCCTCACTGAAATAATGCATGAAATGAAACTATTGTACAGGGTTTCACACAATTTCTAATCTGAACCTGGACAAATATGTCTTCCAGTGAATTTGTATACGGTTATGCAAGTGTATACACGCAATTATTGAAGTTACCAACTATATATATAAAAAAATCTTTTAAAACCTTTAGTCAATATAAACCATAATACTGTTTTACACGGTTATAAATACAAAGATGTGTCATGCATTTATTTTACTTTGTAGACGTAAAGTAAGACAGGTATCATTATGGCAGAAAAAACACACTTGTTTTAATACACTTACAGGTTAGGTTGATGTACCAGATTTTCCCTTCGTGTTTTTGATTCCATATAGCTGCCCCAATGGAACAGATCAGAGATATGGCAATAAGAATGCAGAACAGAAACAGAATTTGTATATTTGTAATCCTTTCCACGTTTGACAGTTTAAGAGGCGGACTCGTGGAGTTCTGTGGAGGAAACAGAGGGTCCACAAGTAAATTATGACATTCATATGCTATTTTTGGTTTTTCTTTAATTTCTAAGGATATTTTCATGCTTTGATTAATGATCCTAAATATTCACGTCAATTACTGATATAGCTTATTCTATATAGGCTTGAAAAACACGGTGCAGTTTTAACTTGGGCGATACATTCCATTGGAGGTATCAATGAGAAAAAAAATAGGAACTACTATTGAAATAAATGCCAGAAACAGCTACATTAGATTTTGTAGTGTTGTGGCACTTTAAAGATTAACAAATGATTGAAATGTATGTGATAAGAAGCTTGACTGTCTTTAACGTACCATGGGATTCTGTTGTCCTACAAATAAATTACTGTTGATTTAATCTGACAGTAAAATAAATGCATACTTTTATTAATTTATGAGTCATGTGTTTATCTAATGCACTGACACACCCAAAGATATAACCTTGATATGTGTCAAACGATACCAACATATTTAACCAATAATAATGATGGACAACTCTTTTTTTTTTATCTGTAGAGCAAGCCCATGGTGTTAAGTGTTCTTTTGTGCAGGCAGTCCTCGACGTACGACCACAACTGACTTACGACCACAATTTTTTGTTGCTGAGATGGCTAAGTGAATTTTGCCCCATTTTACGTTTCTTGCCAGAGTTGTTAAGTGGATCACTGAATGAACTGTTGTAAGTTGAGAACTACCTGTATATTCATGCTTTTAATTTATTATCCAATGAGATATCTTTTGGACCTGTCTATTATGTCATAGACACAGAGCAGAATGTCCAAAGACCCTTGTATATAAGGTTTATTCTTAGTTAGAAGACAAACCTGCATGAGTTTTGTATCATGTCCTGTATAAACAACGATCCCGTGAACCCACTGTGTATTTCTGAGCTGAGCACCACGCAGGAGAATCTGGTCAGGCCCCAGTGGGACAGTCCTAAAAAAAGAAGATAAGCAAAAATTAAGTTACATTGAACCGATCGCAAAATAACTACTTCGGAAACATTAATATAGAAAGAAATTGCTTTTTTCTAAGGCACATTTATTAAATGCAACTTTCTTAAGCCTTTTCAATGAGAACAAGAAGAACATAATTAATAAGAACATAAATTTTAATTCTGCCATTAGGTAAGCTACGTTTCTCTCTGCACTGTACATAAACGTTTCTCTCTGCATTGTACTCTCAAGCTTCCTCCTTCCGTTATGCATTCAAGATGGACAGTGATTAATATTTATATGTTACATGTGTAAGAGTGTGGGTCTATACATATGTTGTATGTAGTATGTTTTAAATGTGTGTTATATATGTGTACACTTTGAGAACAAGCAACTAAATTTCATTTTTTAATGTGTGCCGTTGTGCCCACAGGAAAAAAATGACAATAAAGTTTATCTAATCTGAAAAAAAAATTCTAAATTGCTATTTTGTACTAATATTTTTACAGTCCTATGAAATATGTATATAACTTAAAGGAGTTTCAATCATTGCAACGGAGTCCAAAATTGAGTCATATCCTGATGTAATACAGGTCACACAATTAAGACTCACCACAATTTTCATTCTACATTAGGGATTTTTTTTTAAAAGTGAAAAAGACAGAGGTAGTACATATGAATAAATAGGGCCCCTTGTATCATTAGTATCAGCACTGGAAAAAGAGTTTCAGTTTAGCTTTTCAGCTTTATCTGCTGTCAGTGCTTAATCTACTAAAGTACATGACCTCTCTCTTCTTTTATATTTGTGCTGCTGATAAAATCAATCATTTTGTAGTGGAAGTACCACAGGTCTTGATATATGATGTTGTTTCCCCTTTGGTTAATAATAATAATAACAACAACAACAATAATAATAAAGTTGGAAGGGACCTTGGAGGTCATCTAGTCCAACCCCCTGCTCAGGCAGGAAACCCTATACCAGTGGTTCTCCACCTGTGGGTCGGGACCCCATTTGGGGTCGAACAACCATTTCACGGGGGTCGCCAAACAACGCAGTCCGCCATTTTTTCCCCCTTTTCCTTAGCTGTGCTACTGCCTTTTATTCTATTGGCTTTTGAAAGCCAATAGAATAGACTCTCTTGAATAGAGTCTAATTCTATTGGCTTTCAAAAGCCAATAGGAATTGTCCAGGCTGTCTCTGCCCTGCTGAGCCCGCCAAAAGTCCCATTCTGCAAACGGTGCTGCACCAGTTGAGTAGTCCTCGACTTACGACCGGTTGGGGGTTGCGGCATTAAAAAGGTTGAGAACCACTGCCCTATACCATTTCAGACAAATGGCTGTCCAGTCTCTTCTTAAAAACCTCCAGTGTTGGAGCATTCACCACTTCTGGAGGCAGGTTGTTCCACTGGTTAATTGTTCTCACTGTCAGGAAGTTTCTCCTTAGTTCTAGGTTGCTTCTCTCCTTGATTAGTTTCCATCCGGTTCTTCCTTCAATGAGCAGTTTTCTTTTGCGTGTTAACGGAAAGCATCCAGATGTTAAAATGCTGCTGAGCTCATTGAAAGAAAGTCTTCTGCAATCCAAGACTTGACTCTGGATGGCCTGGAATCCAGGTCCAATCAGCTGAATGTTGCACCCCTCATTTCTTAATATTAAGGTTTAGGTTCTATCTGCCATTTCCACCGAATGGGAAATCATTTCTAACACAAAATAGTCCTTCAATCTTCTGCAAGTAATATATAAAAAAATCCTTTTTATATTGTATTGCCCAGTTACAAGCAGGCAAAGGTTTTACCTCTGTTAGTATTGAGTGGAACTACTTAAAGGGAATAGAGCAGTGGTTCTCAACCTTTTTAATGCCGCGACCCCCAACCGGTTGTAAGTCGAGGACTACTCAACTGGTGCAGCACCGTTTGCAGAATGGGACTTTTGGCGGGCTCAGCAGGGCAGAGACAGCCTGGACAATTCCTATTGGCTTTTGAAAGCCAATAGAATTAGACTCTATTCAAGAGAGTCTATTCTATTGGCTTTCAAAAGCCAATAGAATAAAAGGGAGTAGCACAGCTAAGGAAAAGGGGGAAAAATGTTTGGTGACCCCCGTGAAATGGTCGTTCGACCCCAAATGGGGTCCCGACCCACAGGTGGAGAACCACTGGAATAGAGAATATGGCATTAACTACATTTCTCAGAGTCTAGACCAGGGGTAGGCAACCTCGGCTCTTTTATGACTCATGGACTTCAACTCCCAGAATGAGTTGAATGAGTTGGGAGTTGAAGTCCATGAGTCATAAAAGAGCCGAGGTTGCCTACCCCTGGTCTAGACCATTGTATACATGGCCGATTATGTTTATTGCTATTAGATCCTTCTATATGAGAATTAAGTTCACGGATTGTAATATAACGTTGTGCATGATGTATCTGCTATGTGCTTCGTGTTTTCTTTTGTGGGCCAACACAAAAATGTGCACCATCCATGACCATTCATAGATAATTCCTGTTGTGCTTTCATGGACGGAGCGCCGCTTACAAAAATGGGCACAGTGCAGGATCATAACAAATTCCTGTTGTTATGGTCGCTGAGAGATTTTTCCAGTAAATTATGCTTTTGTAAATTGAGCCTTGCCAGCAAACGGCCAAATATAAAAAATGTGCATTGTACATGTGAATAACAGATGCATTGTTACATTGTTGAGCTTTCGAGCTGACAAGTGCACGATTGTGCTGCTTTTTTGTTTCTGGCATAACTGCCAAGTGCATTGTGCCTGCATAGAAAGAGGTCTCAAGCGAATGGAGGATTTTTCCTGTAGATTCACATGCATTGTTAAACTGAATATATTCCCTACTTCTTCATTTCTGGATTCAGTTCTTTGCTGTTTGCGCAAGCAACCTTTAGGCTTTAGAAATATTTTTAAGTATTGCTTCTACAATAGGCTGTAGAAATACTTGCAATAATCCACTCTGTCAATTTTTCTGCAGGTTGCATGATAGTTTTGTTTATCAATGGCTATCATGCTTCCAGCTTGAAAATTAAGAAAGCAACAGCTGTGCTTTGAGCTTCCGTAAATAGTGAAAGTTTCAAAATGTTTGCCTTTGGTCTGATATTTCAAACATTCTAACTAGATGTGCCAATTGTTTCACAAATTTGTTTTTTGTTTTGCCTATCCGTTCCTTTGGGGAAAGAGATACGCTGTTCACTGACAGGATTGAGAAAAAAATAGTGCGACGTGTCTCTCATAAAATGAGAAGTGCAGTAAAATGGCAATGAATCCGTGCTCTTGAAAGGTTGAAAAGTTTCAGCGGAGCATTAATAAGAAACCAGTAAACAAATGGGACAGAAAAAGAGGGTCAGAATTAAGTATTGGAATCAGCAAAAGCAAGTTTGAAACTTCTCAAGTTAATGTGACTACATTCAAATTAATGTAATTATATTTGAAATTAAAAGACAGGAGATCCAGCTGAGTATTAGGAAGAATTTCCCAATTGCAAGGGCTTTTTAAGCAATAGAACAGTATGGTCAGAACAGTGATGCTGAACCTCTTTTCCTAGGAAAGCTTTCAGACAAAGGCTGACAGACCATATGATGATAATAATAATGATGATGATGATGTTAGAAGGGACCTGGGAGGTCATCTACTCCAACCCCTGCTCAGGCAGGAAACCCTATACCATTTCAGACAAATGGCTGTCCAGTCTCTTCTTAAAAACTTCCAGTGCTGGAGCATTCACAGCTTCTGGAGGTAGGTTGTTCCACTGGTTAATTTTTCTAACTGTCAGAAAATTTCTCCTTAGTTCTAGGTTGCTTCTCTCCTTGATGAGTTTCCATCTGCTGTTTCTTGTCCTGCCTTCAGGTGCTCTGGAGAATAGCTTGACTCCCTCTTCTTTGGGGCAGCCCTGAGATACTGGAATAACTGCTATCGTGTCCCCCTCCTCGTCCTTCTCTTCATTAAACTAGCCATACCCAATTCCAGCAACTGTTCCTTGTATGTTTTAGCCTCCAGTCCCCTGATCATCTTTGTTGCTCTTCTCTGGAGTCTTTCTAGAGTCTCAACATCATTTTTATATCGTGGTGACCAAAACTGGATGCAGGATTCTAAGTGTGGCCTTACCAAGGCATTGTAAAGTGGTATTAACACTTCATGTGAACTTGATTCTAATGTTGCACTAGGCAACTTAAAGAGTCCCACTCAATATTCTATGATTCTATTAAAATATGTGAAGAATCTAGTCCAGTTCAAAAAGTAGTTATGTGGATCATGGATATGAGATAGAAAATGTCTATGGGCATAATGGATGAAAAGCGATGTGCTTTAGGATATCTGGAGAAAAATACCAGTTGAAATTTGAGTAGTGGTGTTAAGGACTCAGAAAAGAGAGGCATTCATTTTAAATTGTTAAGGTTAGAAACAGATCTCAGAGGTGAATGTGTGTCTGTGTAAAGTGAAGAGTAAAAGCCAAACCATAATTATTAAAGCTTGTGAGGTCAAAGGTTGGTTATTTTTCGTGAGTAAAATCTGTTCTGTCTCCTTCCCTTTCTATCTCCAAGCTTTAAAGTTTGAACAACGATGCTGAAATAAAATGGTCAACCTATTTTAAAATGGCAGGGTGAATAAGCACGCTGAATTAATATTTTTGTATAAAATGGGTGTTTGTGTCTGTGCGCGTGGGGGTGAAATCACCAGAACTTTAAACAGTGAAAATCAACTGAAATTAATACAATCAACGCATATAATTTTTTTGTTAAAATGCAGCAATGAAAATATCCTTTCCACCAATATCAATATTCTGTTTTTTATAGAGTTTAGAAATATTATGAAAGAAATTATACGCCAAAGTTTACATACCCGTGAATGTCTAGTCTAATATTTCCCACAAAGTCATACAGATGTCTGTTTGGACTTTCACATTCAATTCTGCCTGAAAGTGTCACCAAGCTGTCAATGTCCTTTATATCAGAGGTCAGCGGTAAGCCCTGTTTGAACAAATTTTTCAGTAACGCAATCACGAAAAATTAAGAATAAGTAACACAAGCTTATGACGTCTTATATATTGGTATTTACATCTATTCAGTAATTAGTTGCATTCACCAGTAATGGTAAATCATATTATACATAAGCAAACTCATCCTGCAGTTAACTTCAGTTTTATAAGCTCTTTTATTTAAATTCCATATAATTTAGCAAGGCATTGAAAACTGATTCATTTTTATTTAAGAACAGGATGTCACATTGTTTGCAGCAATAAACTGTGCCTCATATCTAAGCCAAATACAAAATGGATGACTGATTAAACTTGCTAGTTGCTAATAATTGTTGGTATTTGTCCTAATTTTATGCACCGGTGACAAATTTAAGACAACTAAAATCAAAATGTTTTCAAATGTTTCATCTCTGCACTAAGCTGCACTCATTTCAACCCATGTTTATACTAACCCTATTTATCAGCTGATTAGATAACATATTCATATTTTAATTATATATTTTCATTAAAAATTCTGTTCATCTTTATATATATGTTTTCTGAGGTTTTTGCGGGTGTTTGTATGTAGGTCTTTGTTTATTTGGGTTTTCTCCCGCATAAAATTGGAAGTGTCTTGGCGACGTTTCGACGAAGTCCCATTCATCATCTTCAGGCTGGTGTTTTCGGCTTCGTGCTTCTTGTTCCTAGAAGCACGAAGCCAAAAACACCAGCCTGAAGATGACGAATGGGACTCTGTCGAAACGTCGCCAAGACACTTCCAATTTTATGCAGGAGAAAACCCGAATAAACAAAGACCCCCTCCACACACACATATATGATAGTGTCCTTTCATTTTTCTTCCCTGTTCACCAGCAGTGCCCAATTTTCCATATACAATTTTTTTCACAAAACTGAGTATAAAATCAAAAGCCTAATAAAAATGAAAATATTGAGAAGACTGGAAACATAAAATTGAAGCATTATTAATTTTTATATTTAGCATTCTGAAAACACATGCATAGAAGGAATATACATCATTCATATTTTACAGGTAAAGCCAGGGTTCTTAACACGCAGATGCTTCTTTATGTAAATAACAGACTAACACCAATGGTATGCAATACACTTTGGATCACTGCCTATATCTCTTGAGGACTTAAATGAAATGTTCCTCTTTCTCAATGCTTTTTTTTTTTTTTTTTGCCCTTTTAAGATTCTGCTTCATTCTGTGAATTATGCACGGTGAATTACCTTGGGTCAATATAGACATTCCATCTCAACATACATAAAACAGAAGGGGGGGAGGAAACTTAACTTCTTACCTGTCGTATTTTTAAATTAGTTTCGCCATCTAAATTTGATGTTTCAATGTAGCACATAGCTTGCGGCTCACTTATAGAAAAGAGAAGATCCATTTTATAAATTAAGCAGTCCAGAATCTATTTTCACTGAAATACAACATCATTCTTTAGTTTATGTTATTATCATTAAAAAAATATCAACTAGCAATTTACACTTTCAGAAAATGACCCTTAAAATGTGTAAAGAAAATGATTCATATTGTCTTCATTAATGCACTGGTAGAAACTAAATGGTTCCAGATCTTAAAATCTCCTTGCAAAGTGCTAGGCAGAAAAAGCAAGCTAATTTGGCAGGAAACTAAACTTATAATCCACAGGTTTAAATAACATAAAGTAAACTTTTCTAGTTTTTAATAAAGTAACATAAACGATTATGCAACATATAGGAAGTCCTTGACATATGACTGTAATTGAGCTCAGAATTACAAGTCATTGCAATCACAAAGCAAGTCAACATGTGACCACGCCTGAGTTTATGACTTTTGCGGTGGTCATTAAGCGAATATGGCAGTTATTAAGCAAATCTGTTTTATCCAATGGGTGTTTTTTGCTGGAAACAGGAAGTAAACTCCAGAAGACAAAAAAAGAAGACAAAAATCATAGTCAACATAATTGTAATTAAATGCATTGTATGAAAATACCAGCATATCTCCCAAAATACATATAATATTGATCTTGCGTTGATGTAATAAATATATTTAATAAGTATTGAAAATTTGGTAAAGTTGCAAAGCACGTCCATATTTAAACAGGAATTTCTTCAATTTACATTTACTTTTTAAAGGCCAGTTTTTCTGAAAATGTAATTGATTACAAATTAGCATGCAGATTATTTCACTTTCAGTATATGAAACATATTTAAATCTGGACATATTTCATAAAATTTAACAATTATTGTACAATCCTTTACACATCTATCTAGGAGCACTTCTACCCAATTCAAACCAGTTTAGTTTTGAATAGTCATGTACGCATAGGATTGCCCTGGAAAGCTACCAAATTATGTACATGTAATTTGAAATAAGCCCTATTTATCAAATTGGGCCTACATTTGAGTGAATATTTTCTGAATGATATTGAAAATAAATGAGTAGAACATCAGCAATTAGGAAAATATGTTTCATTACAGAAATTACTATATACTGACATTCATCTCTATAATCAAATGATGTCAAAACAAAATACAATCCAAGTATATAAACTATATAAATATTGCTTTTACTGCAGTAGCATGCTGTTCACCCAATAACAAATCCAAATGCATGCAATTTAAAGCATGCAAAATTTAGGTCTGTGCTGTGGGTCCTCTATAATTCTCAAAATATATCATTTGTTAATATAGAAAGTGTTGTATAAAATTACTGAAAACACGAAGTTCTCTACAGTATGATTTTACTTCATGTTTCCAGACAGTTCACTTTCCTCAAGGGAGTTGAGTTTAAAACTTTAGATGGTATCTACATAATAACTTCAATGAAACAGTTTATTTTAGTCATTGATTTATTTTATAGACTAATTCTGGAGGTAGATCAACCACCTTTGTATTAATTGTAATCCTAAACCTGATTTTTAAGTATGCCCAATTAATTTCCGTGGAATGTATATTGAAGTACATGGATGTCTAATTGGACATGAGGCTTTAATACTGTCCTCATGCAGATTAGCTTAGACCAGTGGTTCTCAACCTATGGGTCGCGACCCCATTTGGGGTCGATCGACCATTTCACGGGGGTCGCCAAGCAAGGCTGTCCACCATTTTTTTCCCCTTTTCCGGGGGTGCCTTACCTCCCTTGGGCTGGGCCTCCTCCGTCTCTGCTGCTTGCCAGCTAGGCCTCGGCACCACGCATGCGCGGTGCTCCCGGGCAGGGAAAGTCCTCGACTTATGACCGGTTGGGTAGTCCTCGACTTATGACCGGTTTAGTCCTCGACCTACGACCGGTTGGGGGGGTCGCGGCATTAAAAAGGTTGAGAACCACTGGCTTAGACAAAGTCAAACATTCCCTTGTACTTCCATGTAAATGAACGTTTGTGCATAGTAAAACATTCTGCAATCTGTTTACAGCAGAATCCTTTTCTGCTATGGTTTAGTAGAAGGACCCAGAAACACATTTATTCTGGAACTGATTCGTTCTAACCTTGTTGAAAGACTGATGAGATCAGCTGGGAGATGCTCCCCATTGGTCACCTTCACTATTTCCCCCACTGCAACCTTTACCAGTTTTGAAATAATAATAATTATAACAGAATAAATAAAAAAAACAGAAACCAAATCGATTAAAAAAAAAAAAAGAAGACAGAAAGTTGAAATTATTATATAAAGCGTGTTAGGAAACACTTGACATCTTTTTTTCCCTCAAAAATCTATTTAATTTGGATCAGAAAAATGTGTTATTTAAAGTGTTTTCAGAGATAGCAAAAATAACCCTTAAAGGTGCACATCGAAGGGTTAATTGTCAAGCGCGGGGGGGGGGGGAAATCAGGCCGATTCAGGGAGTTCAGATAAGTATAAAGATTTATTGCAAGCTTAAACTCTCTATAATTTGAGCTACTAGCGGGTCAAGAGAAATAAGCGGGAGATAAGAGAGGCATTCAAGGTGGGAGGAGCTTAAATCCCTTGTGGGCGCACAGGGACTCATGACCGATGACGTTTGACCCTTCCCTCGGGCTCAGCCTGGTCATCTCCTACAGCAGGGGTAGGCAACCTTGGCTCTTTTATGACTCGTGGACTTCAACTCCCAGAACTGAAGCTGGCTCAGGAATTCTGGGAGTTGAAGTCCACGAGTCATAAAAGAGCCAAGGTTGCCTACCCCTGTCCTACGGTAATACAAATTCATGGTATTAGAAAAGAAACAGAGCATAATAATGTCTTATTTAACTTTAGCAAAATGATAAAAACAATTTGAAAAAGGAATGGAGGAAAATCTCTTGGGTTTCCTTTTAACTCCTTTAACAGAATTAATAAATATTAGGAGTCACGGCTGTTCCACCCTCCTAAAGAGGCACTCTGGTATTTCTAGAAATTAAAATTCAGCACATCTACCAGGAAGGTGTGATGTAGACGAGAGCCATACCTGCACCAAGTTCCTCATAGAAAATAACAAAATAAGAGCATGAGGTGTCAGTTTTCACTTTAAAGCCTATTTAAACAAAAATGGCATATTGTAAAAATCTTCAGGAAAGGCTAGCAAAATACTCTCTATAAATATTTATATTTGGAGACCATGATCCAATCAAATAGATTTTGAAAAAAAAAAAACGTTTCACATATTGAGTTGTCCAAGGAAACACAGATAAACAAGATTAAATTTCACAAGAATGAAATCTAGTATTTTGAATTCTGAAAGCAGGACTTAAGGCTTTTTAGAATCATTTTAAACGCCATATTCTCAGGAAATTGTCAATAACATTTTGTTATGCTTTGATATTAAGACGACACTGTGCTGCAAACTATTTTCAGTGGGTATATTTGTGTGATAAATTAAATAAAATTAGAGGGGAAAACTTTTGAGTTCCAAACTATGAATGAAAATACAATCAGATGCGCGGGAAAGCCCAACACTTTATTTATTCGAAGGAGCAATAATTCATGTGTGCAACATTTCAGCAGTTCTAAACACTTCTGTTTATTCTCTATTTCCTTGGTGCAATTATGGATCAAAGTTGGAGAGAGAAAACAGACTCTATTCTGGAAGCACTGATGAATAATTTCTACCTTGATGAGAGAAGCACAATGTCAGCAGGTATATATTCTTTGCCTTTTATTAAAACTATATCTCCAACATCTGCCTGAAAGAAAACTGGGAATTGGTTAATGGTCTGAAACCAGCAGAATAATCCTATCCTTTGCTGTATCTAAGTATACACTGTGCAATAAAAGTAGTAAACTACTTAAAATAGAATTGACGGCAAGAGGTTTAAAAACTGTATGCTTTCTCATCTAAGTATATTTTTTCCCATTTAACAGAATGACCACATTTCTATTTTCATTTTATGACAGAAAGTAAAACACTGTTTCCTAATAACAAAACGATCTTTTTTGTTACTTGAATGAATACAAAAGACCTCTTCATAATTAGTCAGCTCTTTGTCTTATTTAGATCATGTTGCACAGTCTGACAGTAATCCTCCAAGAATTAAAAACCTGGAGTTGATTTCAATACATAAATTTTACTGATGAATTATGGGCTCCTGTAGCACTTGTGTAATGACAAAATTATAGCAATTTGGGTGGGGGGGTCTTTATTGGCCAAGAGATAAAGTTTATACAGTATAAAATCTGTCAAGTCAAATAATGAAAGAGAAAGTCTCTTGCAGCTATATGAAGTTGATTACTAGAGTAATTTGAAGAGTTTCTAGAAGTAATCCTCAGTTAGTTCAATGAAATCGACCTCTATGGGGGCAGATATAGATTTACAGTTGTCATGAACTAAAAATATGTAAAATGAATTTGTCCTCCAGATCTCCAGTGCTTATTTCCCCCTAAGTAAACACTGCAATCCATAACGAATGAAGACACTTATAAGAACAATCAGAGCCGTGTTCTATGCTAAACAAGAGGTAATATTTTTTAATTCTTTACTATAATACTGTTAGCGCAATGGTTACACTTACATGTTTAAACAGATAAGATACACGTGCATTTTTATGACTTAACCAGTATGGTTGCTATTAAATTTTGGTGACTTAACATATCCTAACCAGCTCATTTGATTCAATGTATTGTGACAATCCAGGATATTTACTGTCTATATGCTGTGTGAAAACAACTAATGTTGGATTAATACGGTAGGGAAATGGCAACTTTGAGAACAATTGGCACAGAATAGTAAATTATTCTTTTGCCTAAATCCTTTGCATATCAGAGTGTACAAATTAATCCTTTTGTGATCAAATGCACACTGAATGATTATGTGGGGAATAAAAAAATAAACCAGAACTTTCAACAAAACAATTAATGACAATTTAATCAATATGGTAAACATATGGTCAACAAACTAGAAAACATATGGCAAAAATTAAATTTAATCCATTTAAGGACAATATATTCAACGTGGTAAACCCAAACATTTCATTTATTCAGTCTAATTCACCGTGACATATATAAAGATTTAGATCCAGATATTATGTTATATACAGATAGTCCTTGACTTACGGCCACAATAGAGCACAAAATTTTCAGTTGCTGAGACATTGGTTAAGTGAGCTTAGTCCCATTTTACAACCTTTCTTGTCATAGTTGTTAAGTGGATCACTGCAGCTATGTTAGTAACACGGTTGTTAGATGAATCTGGCTTCCCCCATTGAACTTTGCTTGGCAAAAGGTCGCAAAAGGGGAACACGTGACCCCAGGATACTGCAACTGTCATAAGTATAAGTCAGTTGCCAAGCGTCCGAATTTTGATCACGTGACCCTGGGGATGCGGCAATGGTTGTAAGTGTGAAAAACGGTCGTAAGTCACTTTTTTCAATGCCATTGTAAACTTCGAACAGTCACTGAATGAACTCCTGTAAGTTGAGGACTACCTGTCGTAGGTTACATCACTGAATATAAGATGTTGGGATAATCTGTCATTTTTATAGTGGGTGGTACAAAATGTCGCACAAAGATAAATGCTATGAAATAACTTGAACAACAAATATACTTCAGAACAGTGTTCAACAAGCATCTTGGTCTGTTCAGTTCTTTGGATGGATTCAAAACGTATTTAGATTTTACAGTCTGAACAATAAGGAAGCCACATACCTTTTCCCAGTGTACAATCTCCCAAGCTCCATTTCTCAGTACTGCATCATAAAAAGCAACAATAAAACCACAAAGGTTCTATTAAAGCAATGGTCAAAATGCTTTAGAGATAGATAGATAGACAGATAGATAGATAGATAGATAGATATAGATATACATACATGCATACATACATACCTATATATACATATATATATAGACACACATATATATACTATAATTTCTTGTTTATATACTTTGAACACCACCTACATTCACTGCCATGAAATGGGTGACCATATAAATCATATAAATAAATAAAGTGACAAGATAATTATAAAAATAGCATTATTCAGAAAACTTCATATGACTTCATTTTTACCCACTGAACAGCTAAAAAGTGGTTATACATGAAACTTCCTACCTTGTACTTCCTTTTTATTCACAGCATTATCAGCTTTCTGTCTTTTCTGAAACAAATCACATAGATTTTACACTACTTTTACGGAGTATTTTAAATATTGGGCAAGTTACATATGGAAGTAAATTACATATCACATATCACACAACATGTATAACAAATCAAGTTAAAGAACTAGTACCTGCACGTGCGTACGATACCACATTTGATATTTTTGTGTGTGTGATTTATACCGTATGCAAACTCAGGCAGAACTTTTTAATTTTTTTAAGAAGTACTGCATTGTCCAGGCAGACTGCAGAGAGTATCTTAAACTGGTGATTTGCTATGGGAATTGTTCAAAATGTTTGTTTTTTTTTTTTTTAAAAAAAACATTCTTCTCTTAGCCTATAGATCAGTGGTTCTCAACCTTTTTAATGCCGCGGCCCCCAACCGGTCGTAAGTCGAGGACTACTCAACCGGTCGTGAGTCGAGGACTACTCAACTGGTGCAGCACCGTTTGCAGAATGGGACTTTTGGCGGGCTCAGCAGGGCAGAGACAGCCTGGACAATTCCTATTGGCTTTGAAAGCCAATAGAATTAGACTCTATTCACGAGAGTCTATTCTATTGGCTTTCAAAAGCCAATAGAATAAAAGGGAGTAGCACAGCTAAGGAAAAGGGGGAAAAAATGGCAGACTGTGTCGTTTGGCGACCCCCGTGAAATGGTCGTTCGACCCCAAATGGGGTCCCGACCCACAGGTTGAGAACTGCTGCTATAGATGGACACATACTGTGGTCTGCGGATAAAGAACAACGTAACAAGAGCTTGTTTCCATTATTCTCTCAAGATTGTGTGTTTTGTACCAAACCTGGGACACAATTCTGGAAGAGGCGATGTCTTGTTCCGATCAAAATCAGTAACGCTCAATATATTTCTGGTAATCAATGCATTTGGAAAAAAAAATTCAGTCTGGCATCTTATTAATGCAGTGGTTTCATTTTCACAAGCAAAGCAAAGCAGACTCTCCCAGTCCATCCAGGGACCTGTTGGACTCAGCCTGGTCCTCAGCCTTAAAAACGGAGGCTTCCAAGGATTATGAGACTAGCAGAATAACACAAGGCTGTGCTACTCTGTGTAGGAAACCTGAACCTCACATCAACTGGGCGCCTCTCTCGGGAGCTGCAAAATGCAGAAAGTTAAGTTGGGTGCAGTTGGGCCCGGGAGGGGACAGAGGAGCAGGCTGAGCTGTGCAAGTCCCTGGATGGCCGAGTGGGAAGCAAACCCACTGGTGGAGTGGGATGAGTAGGGGGAAATAAACAGGGGGGCTGCTGCAGCATTCCTGCACTCCCTCTTAAGGATGAATGCCCGAAGAAGTGCTGCAGTGGCAGTAACTTTGAAATGGGTCATAAGTTGAGATGTTGAGACTCTGGAAAGAGTGCAGAGAAGAGCAACAAAGAGGATTAGGGGACTGGAGGCTAAAACACATAAGGAACGGCTGCTGGAATTGGGTATGTCTAGTTTAATGAAGAGAAAGACGAGGGGGGACATGATAGCAGCATTCCAGTATCTCAGGAGCTGCCCCAAAGAAGAGGGAGTCAAGCTTTTCTCCAAAGCCCCTGAAGGCAGGACAAGCAATGGATGGAAACTGACCAAGGAGAGAAGCCACCTGGAACTAAGGAGAAACTTCCTGACAGTGAGAACAATTAATCAGTGGAACAGCCTGCCTCCAGAAGCAGTGAATGCTCCAGCACTGGAAGTTTTTAAGAAGAGACTGGACAGCCATTTGTCTGAAATGCTATAGGGTTTCCTGCCTGAGCAAGGGGTTGGATGACCTCCAAGGTCCCTTTCAACTTTATTTATTATTATTAGTAGTAGTACCGTGTTTCCCCAAAAGTAAGACCTACCCTGAAAATCATCCCTAGCCTGATTTTGGGGGATGGGCCTAATGTAAGTCCTACCCCCAAAAGAAGCCCTAGTTTTGAGGCCAGGCGCATGCCTAAAAATCAAGCTAGGGCAGGGATGAGGGGGTAGAGCTGCCCCACGCGCCCACTTACCATTGTAGCCTACCTCTCCTTGCCGCTCCACTTCTTCTGCGGCGTCCCCCGGCCTGCATTTCACCGTCAGAGGCCTTTCCGGAAGGCCTTTGGAGCCAACAACTGAGCTATATCCATAGTTCGGCTCTCAGCTGCACAGGCCTTCCGGAAAGGCCTCTGACTGCAAAATGCAGACTGGGGGACGCCGCAGAAGAAGTGGGCCGGCTGGGCGGGACTGTCGGTGCCGGAGGTGAGTGTAAAAGACACCCCCCCTAAAAAAGATAAGACCTGGTGCCTCTTTTGGAGGCAAAACCCCCCCCCCCAAAACCCGGGTCTTATTTTCGGGGTTTCTGCTGTAACTTCAAGCAGTTCCCAAGTGATCACTTGTAAACCAAGGGCTACCTGTACTGAACAAACATACATAAAATATTGAAAATATTCCAGTTAATAAAAGCAGAGGAAGTGCTAGACGGAGGAAATCTATAGCAGATCTGTTCATGGATTTCCCTCGCCTAAGGGCGTACCATGATCACATGTGTTTCACGTATAAAATCAAAGATGCACGCTCCTTAACGAAATGTGAGGGATTTTTTTTTGTTTGTTTAGCTGCTCGAAAAAAATAAAATTGAAAAAAAAATCAAAATGAGTACACTTGATTGGTTGAAGCCCCTTTAAATTTAAACCTGTATCTGATTTGAAGATGAGTATTAGTTTAAAGCTAGGAAGGAAATGTTTGGCTACTTACAATATCTTCTATTATTTCTTTGACTGCTGCTACAGCTAAAATAAATAAGAGAGGAACCAGTGTTGTATACCGTCCTGTTGGAGAAACATCTGGAATTTGCTAAGGTATAAAAAAGAAAAGTACGTTTCAATATTAGCTGCACTGATTGCATGGAAATACAGTCAATAAAATACGGCATCAGCAGAATCCACTTAAATGCTCATGAGGAAAATTTCCCAAATAGGTAACTAATAATGACAAGTTATTTCAAGTAATTATTGTCTACTCTAGTTACGACTAACTGTTTATTAATAAACACCATATACTAATAATCACAAAAAATACATTTGAATAGTGTTAGTAATTTGAGAGTTTTAGGTATTACTGATCCATCTGCACTTGAAGGCAGGACAAGAAGCAACGGGTGGAAACTTATCAAGGAGAGAAGCAACCTGGAACTAAGGAGAAATTTCCTGACAGTGAGAACAATTAACCAGTGGAATTGCTTGCCTCTAGAAGTTGTGAGTCCTCCATCATTGGAGGTTTTCAAGAAGAGACTGGACAGCCACTTGTCTGAAATGGTCTAGGGTCTCCTGTTTGAGCAGGGGGCTGGACTAGATGACCTCCAAGATCCCTTCCAACTCTGTTATTCTGTAATTCTGTAATCTGGACTAAATTGTGAACTCAAGAGAAGTTTCACTGTCAGTTTAGGATTTCGGGTAATCCGAATTCCTTTTATCATAACTTAAATGATTTAAAAACTTGCCCAGCAATAAGTTTATATAAAGTATAGATACCACTAATGCTTCATGACTTTAAAAAAAAAATACCCCAGAATTTTTATTTATCCCAGAATAAATGTGAAAATGCGTTAAATGTCATCATTTTTACAGCCTTTAATACAAGAAATACTACAACGTAGAACTAAGACACAAACAAAGCCTGACATGATATCAAAGAAGTCACACAACAACTTTCTAACTGAGCATATACTAATCTTGTCAGTTGTTATGTTATATTCTACAGAAACACAAAAGTCAAAATATATGCCCAATTACAAAGTTCAGTCAGGAGGGTTAAGCTCATTATCACACGTGGGATAAAGTTTAGATAAGAAAATGTAGGAGTTGGCCTTTCCTATATAACCAATGCTCACATCATAGATACTCTTTATTATACCTATCATTATATATGGACAAGAAGAACTGGTAAAGCAACTTTCAGTTTAAAGTTTAGTACAGGCGTAATGTGTTTCAGAAAAATATTGTTTACATTCTTCAAAAATGATTTGGAAAAAGTGCCTTGGGCCTCACTTGGATAGAGCATCTCTTTGTTAATCATTAAAGTGGGGTGACTTTCCCTCCCCCCCCCCCGATTTTTGAGTGAGTCTGAAAAAAGATGATGCTTTGAAGGAATCAACTCATTATAAACGAATGCAGCTCTGAAAGCATTTTTTTTCCCCTCGGGATCATGCTATAACCTGATAAATGCTTCTTAGGAAATTAGGCAATATATTTGTTTGTTTGTTCAATTTCTATGACTGCCCACCTCAGTCAATCTCTCTGAGCGGCTTACAATTCAAAATATACATTGTTAAAAATATTAAAAACATTTTAAAACAATAAAACTGTATAGCTATATTTCGGGGGGGGGGGAAACCTAGTTTAAAGTTTCATTCCCTAAGAAGTTCCAAGATTTTAACTGAACCTAAGAGATTGCATAATGAAAGCCTGCAAGCACTGAGGACATTACAAACAATTTTATAATGTCTAGCCATTAAACGTTGCTGGAGGATAAAGGGAGGGAGGAAGGGAGCTGAGCCCTTGTATACATTCTTACCTGAAGCAATGCAATGAAAAGAAAAAAGGCATTAGCAGCTCTCCTAAACTGAGAATACAGGAACCTAGGCAGGAATGTGATAATGTTGTATTTTGCAGTGCTAAGAGAGAGGAATTAAAATGCATGGAATTAAGGGAGAGATTAAAAGCAGATAATATATACAATCAGAGCACACTAAGTGCCGTATACAGAGAATTATTTTAAGAGTTATTGCAATATTTATAGGTCTAAATCAGTGGTTCTCAACCTTTTTAATGCCGCGACCCCCAACCAGTCATAAGTCGAGGACTACTCAACCGGTCGTAAGTCGAGGACTAATCAACTGGTGCAGCACCGTTTGCAGAATGGGGCTTTTGGCGGGCTCAGCAGGGCAGAGACAGCCTGGACAATTCCTATTGGCTTTTGAAAGCCAATAGAATTAGACTCTATTCAAGAGAGTCTATTCTATTGGCTTTCAAAAGCCAATAGAATAAAAGGGAGTAGCAAAGCTAAGGAAAAGGGGGAAAAAATGGTGGACCGTGTTGTTTGGCGACCCCCGTGAAATGGTCATTCGACCCCAAATGGGGTCCCGACCCACAGGTGGAGAACCACTGGTCTAAATAAACATAATGTCCGAGAGATTTGGAAACAAAACTCTAGCATTGCCATTAAATGTTAAAATATTTATTTTTCTGAGGGGTCCTTGATGCCCTCTGAGTTTGCTTGTGCTCTTCCAGACGGTTCATTCCCCAAACAGTGTGCCTGATGTTTTGTTTGTTTATTTATAACAATAGCAATAACCATTTTTGTGTGTGTCTCACTGCTTTGCAGTTTCACTCCTGAGGCCACCGCTCAAAATGTAAGAGGAGCACCAACAACTGGGTTGCAAAAATCCCAGGTGAATTTTCACAATCCTCAGTTCGAAAGAGGATTGCGGACACTCCCCAAATGCCCCCCCCCACTCCCGGGATGGCTCCAAACATCCTATCTGCACCATTTTTATCCATTGTGTATTAATAAATCTCAGTGTCAAATGGTAAATATCAACAATAAGTTGTATCAATAGAATATTTGTAATTCAGGTTTGAACTGTGGGGGTCCTTGGTGGTCTCATTACCCAAACTAGATTATGTCATTAATGTTAGAAGAGAATAGGGTCTGGTGCAGGCACCTATTATAGCAGTGGTTCTCAACCTTTTTAATGCCGCGACCCCCAACCGGTCGTAAGTCGAGGACTACCCAACCAGTCGTAAGTCGAGGACTACCCAACCGGTTTTACATCAAGGACTTTCCCTGCCCGGGAGCGCCGTGCATGCGTGGTGCCGCCCCCTGCGCCGGCCGAGGCGTAGCTGGCAAGGGGCAGCGACAGCGCAGGGTGACCACCGGCTGGGCCGCCAGCTGGCCCAGCCCAAGGGAAGTAAGGCACCCCCCGGGCCCCACGCATGCCAGCAATCCTCCCTGCGCCCGCCGGCCTCCCACCCCGGCCCTCTTTTAATTACATTTTTAGTAGTTGCTCAGCAGGGAGGGGTGGAAGCTTCCAGACAGCTCGCCTTCGCTGCAGACAACTTGCAGCACCGTTTGCAGACTGGGGCTTTTGGCGGGCTCAGTAGGGCGGAGACAACCTGGACAATTCCTATTGGCTTTTGAAAGCCAATAGAATTAGACTCTATTCAAGAGAGTCTTTCAAAAGCCAATAGAATAAAAGGGAGTAGCACAGGTAAGGAAAAGGGGGAAAAAATGGCGGACTGCATTGTTTGGCGACCCCCGTGAAATGGTCATTCGACCCCAAATGGGGTCCCGACCCACAGGTTGAGAACCGCTGTATTATAGCAACTAATTTGTTTGATAATGAAATGTCCGCAAGAAAACCATCAACTCAGAGACCATCAAGGACCCCACAGTCTTCCTTCTCCCACTCCCTGCAATCCCCCCCTCCCTCCTAGCCTGAGGTTGTTACATGTCTGCAAGACAACAGCCAAGCTCAAGAGCGCATCAAGGACCCCACAATAACTTGTAACAAATCAGAGATATCCACGGGTGAAGTTTAGGGGCACACACGACTAAAGGAAGTACAAGCCCCGCCCTTTCAGCGTGCACGTAGTGATACTGCACAAACACAACCGGTCAGAGCTTAGGACGCACTGGCTTTCAGTCAGAATATGGAAATTAATTACACAAAACATTGGATACAGGTACCTGACATGGTTGCTACAGAACTTAGACAACTGTGGTTGATTGATGAATATAGTTCTCAGTTCCTCTTGATCAGCCAATGAGGTCTTCTCTGAAACATCATCTGTCTTCTCATAGCCTACGAAATAGTAGAAACCTGATATGTACACTTAAATTCTGTGATTATTTAGATGAAAGCAAAAAAAGCATTTTTAAACGTTAGTGAGCAATGCAAAAAACAATAATACGTACGATCGTACCATTTATATCGATAAAATTAATCTTTTTAATTCCTATTTAAGACGACTACATTTTTAAAAAATCTTTCCTTGCTGTATTAACGACATGCTGAGGTAGCTTTTCCAGGTGCCAAAAGCATTTAAACTAAATATTTTGATTTGACAGAGAAATTACATTTCATGTACCTTTAAATGTTACTTATTTACGTTACAACAGTTGCAGCCTGTTCCAAGCTCGGTATATTCTGGCTAGGGACTGACTTGTTGTTAAAGTTTTATATGGTTGAAGCTTGCAACTCACAAAAGTTTACAGTAGTATAAGACAACAATAATAATAATGTGCAGTTAAAAACCAAAAATAAATGCCAAGGTAACTAAAAGCATTAAAATAGAAATAATTTTATTTATGGACAGCAACCAATGTTAGGTAACATCAGTTCTCCAAAGTCTTGTCGAATATCTCAATGTTGACCTATCATCGGTTCTTTTTATGCTACATCCTTCCTCCTAAATCAGTGGTTCTCAACCTGTGGGTCGGGACCCCATTTGGGGTCGAACAACCATTTCACGGGGGTCGCCAAACAACGCAGTCCGCCATTTTTTCCCCCTTTTTCCTTAGCTGTGCTACTCCCTTTTATTCTATTGGCTTTTGAAAGCCAATAGAATAGACTCTCTTGAATAGAGTCTAATTCTATTGGCTTTCAAAAGCCAATAGGAATTGTCCAGGCTGTCTCTGCCCGGCTGAGCCCGCCAAAAGTCCCATTCTGCAAACGGGGCTGCACCAGTTGAGTAGTCCTCGACTTACGACCGGTTGAGTAGTCCTCGACTTACAACCGGTTGGGGGGGGGCAGCATTAAAAAGGTTGAGAACCACTGTCCTAAATACTTCCTTCCCATGGGGGGAAAAAAACTTCTCCTTTCTAGCTGATTTTTGGCTGCTTTAGTTCGAACACAAACACACCTTCCTTCTTCTCTCTCCCCCACATCAACTGTTCCACACCAAAGCTTTTGTAGGCAACTCTGCCTATTAAGAGCTCTCAGCTAGTAGGCTGGGAAGACTATTCCACAGGGTGGAGACCCCCAACGAGACCCCGGCCTCTGAGCCATTTAATCTATCATAATCCATGATGCTCAACATTTTCAACTGAAATGAGTCTGCTGGATTGACTGGTTCCACTGGGAGAAGTGGGGTCCTCCAATTACCAAGAAGCAAAGCACTTAAGCACTTTAAAAGTTAAAACTACCACTTTGCATGCCTTTAGAAATCTGCTGAAAGCAAGCATAGTGCCTGGAATAGGATTGTGAATGTGGGTCTACTGTAACTGCTCTTGCCTGTCAGCGTGCAGACAGTTGAGCATCACACCAGCTGTGGTTTCTAAGTAGCCTTCAAAAGCAATCCCAGGTAGAGAGTGCTTTGCAATAAGTCTTATCGTGATGGCGATGAGACTTTTGCGTTACTATCACCAGGTTTTCTTGCTTTCAGAAAAGAGTGACAGCTGGAAGTACAAAGTTGGCTAAAGACCTCCCCAGTTATGCCCCCTACCCTCTTTACCAAATAACAGTCCTGAGTCTAGAGCAGTGGTTCTCAACCTTTTTAATGCCGCGACCCCCAACCGGTCGTAAGTCGAGGACTACTCAAGCGGTCGTAAGTCGAGGACTACTCAACTGGTGCAATACTGTTTGCAGAATGGGACTTTTGGCGGGCTCAGCAGGGCAGAGACAGCCTGGACAATTCCTATTGGCTTTTGAATGCCAATAGAATTAGACTCTATTCAAGAGAGTCTATTCTATTGGCTTTCAAAAGCCAATAGAATAAAAGGGAGTAGCACAGCTAAGGAAAAGGGGGAAAAAATGGCGGACTGCGTTGTTTGGCGACCCCCGTGAAATGGTCGTTCGACCCCAAATGGGGTCCCGACCACAGGTTGAGAACCACTGCTCTAGAGAACACTTGAATCACAGCCCTGCCTCATCGTAAATGGAGCAGAGAAAAAAAAATCAGATAATCGTTAGGAAAAACAAATCTGTTTTGTTAGGATTAAACTTCAGCTTTGTTTTGTTCTCATACAGCTTTGGCTAGCTTCCAAATGCCATTAACAAACGCCTCACTTAGCAGCAGAAATTCTGGGTTCAATTGTGGTCGTAAGTTGAGGACTACCTGTAGTTGGCTCAACAATGAAGACCGAGGAGACAGAGTCCAATGGAGGAGTCAATAGAAAAGTGAAGAAATGTGAATTTGATATGCTGGCAATGTTTCACCCAGGCATCACCCGAAGGGTTAAAACATCTGAAGCATTAAAAGAGGAACTGATACATTTTGAAGGTGGTTTAGGCCTACGTGCTAATTTGCATATTTCAATATTTTGTTAGAGGAAGTAGAAAAAAAAATGTTAAGAAAAAGATTAGATGTTATTTTGTATAATAAGCAGATTAGGTATCGGCATACTGAGATTCCAAGCAACCTGAATAAACGGTTTCATATGTTAATTATACTCCATTGCGGACAGACACTTACCTAGTGGTAAAAAAAGAATAAATTTAAATTAGAGTGGTGGAATAATAGCCGTGAAAATGAGGCTTCTTCTGAAGCTTTTGTTGCAGGAGAGGGTGTGTGCTACTGATAATTGATAAGCAGCTGAACAAGTGGGGAATTTACAAAATTATAGTTTTGTAAAAGGATCCAAACATAAAAACAACTTTCAGTTGCACATAGAACTGGGAGAGGGGTGAAATGAAATTTACATAAAATATTATAAGGGCTATCAATTACCACGCACCCTTTAGTCTCTTTTTTTAGGGCCCCTAAAAAGCCAGTAAGTTCAAATTGAGGTTGTAGAGATAAATAACAGATCGGTACAATACTAAGTACAAGTAGTCCTCCACTTACAACTCACTCGTTTAGTGACCGGTTGAAGTTGCAACGGCACTGAAAAAAAGTGACACGATCAAAAAAACTCAGATGCTTGGCAACTGACTTGTACTTATGACGGTTGCAGCCTCCTAGGGTCACACGATCCCCTTTTGCGACCTTGTGACAAGCAAAATCAATGGAGGAAGCCAGATTCGCTTAACGATCGGGTTGCTAACTTAGCAACTGCAGTGACTCACTTAACAACTGGGGCAAGAAAGGCCGCAAAGTGGAGCAAAACTCACTTAACTGTCTCACTTAGCAACAGAAATTTTGGTCACTGGCCAAAGGCTACCTATGAAAGAATGCAGCCCTTTTCAAGGAAATTGATAACAGATATTAAAAGTGCAATAAAATATAATCTTACGTCATAAAGCCCAACGTAAGCCTTTTCTAGGCTTTTTGCATCCTGATTTCAGTGAAAAAGTTAAGAGAGGCACAGACTTGGAAGAAACTAGGTTCATTCAACTGGCAGAACTTCAGCAGGGATGAGAATCCTGTTATAAAACAAGCTTTTTTTTTTCCTGTTGACTGCGAAAACAGGCTTTTTCCCCCCCGTTGTTTCTTAGTTGGAAGGATATAGTTTCAGAACATTTCTTTTAAAAAGTAAAAGCACAGTACTAAGATTCTAACCGAATTCAAAAATATAATTAAAAGTAGGCAGGCTGGATTTGATATCAGTAATTTATAAAAAAAAACATTTTGATGATGATCTGTGGTACTTTAATAAAACATGAGAGGGAAATTGAGAAATTTAGAGCAGGGAAAAAAAATGACCTTATAAATCTATTTTGTCACAAATGCAAGAAATGTCACAGTAAATCATTCAAGTGCAGTGTAATGTTCCAGGCAAGGTGATTATATATTAATAAAAGAATCATGATGAATCATTCACAGGATGAATTGAAGAATGAGGGCAAGATACATTTACCTATTGTGGGCCTACAGTCAAGTGATTTTCAAGAACAACTGGGAAATTGCACTGGGGAATTGAAATGTTTCCTCAGCGAGCATTATTAAATACTTTTTGTCAGACAAATGCATCATTAAAACATATAATTGTTGAGACAGTAGAGTGTCTTATGGTAACAGCTTGGCATTTGTTAGGTTTTGAAAGAATTTGGATATAGCAAATTCTATTACTAGGAAAAAAGCATAGAATAAGGCATTGTGGAAAAAAATCAATGATTAAATGCTTTGCTAATTAGGAAATTAGACTCATGTGTAGATCTGAATATGTTTATCTACTTGATAAATCAAAGAACTACTGGTAGAAATCTTCTTAAAAGATCTGTGGAAATATGAAAACATGATTCTCTTCTACCATAAAAAATATGTATTTAAATATACTGAAACAGCGTTATGTACAAATGCAGTTTGGTTATGGAAAATAATTTCCTGGGCTAAACTTTAGTAGAACAATATTTGTAATAATGTAAAATAATATCAAAATGCCTTGTTAAGTTCTCATACGTGCACAGGCATAAGTTTGCATGTCTCATAAATAAACCAGAACCAGGTTTGAAATTTACAATAGTTGGCTTTCAGAGTTTTGTTCCTTACCTTTGCACTGACAAGACGGTAAAACAATACTGGTAGCCCTTGACTTATAACCGTTCACTTAGTGACAGTTTGAAGTGACTTATGACCGTTTTTCATACTTATGACCATTGCAGCATCCCTATGGTCACGTGATCCAAATTGGCACTTGACACTTGGCAACTGGCCTGTACTTATGACGGTTGCATAAACCGTCCCCCTTTGAGACCTTGGAACAAGCAAAGTCAACGGGGGAAGCCAGATTCACTTAACAAACGGTTTACTAACTTAACAACTGCACTGATTCACTTAACAACGGTGGCAAGAAAGGTAGAAAAATGGGGCAAAACTTACTTAACAAATGTCTCTCCTAGCGACAGAAATTTTAGGCTCAATTGTGGTCGTAAGTTGAGGACTCCTTGTGGCGGATTTCAACAATATTACCTCCCTCCAACCA